TCAAGGTTCCCTCCCACATCCAAGGTTCTATAATTCTACGCTTCTAATTTCTTGCCTAGCTAAATAATTATTTTGCTCATAATCCAAGGCTAGCGTAGCACACTTCTAAATTTAGATATGGACGAAGAAAAAAAAAAGGAACGACTTCTAATCCTTTGAGTATAAATGTACATCATCAATAAATACAAATTAGCCACCCAGAGTTGCTTTGCAGAACGAGGCGGCTGGCATATTAATTAATTTAATAAATTAATAAATAGGGCGGGGGTATTTGATTCTGTCACTTCATCCAGTTTAATTTACTTCCTTGATCCAATCTATTAATTTATCTCCTTTAAGCAGTTCAACAGGTCTCAGCTTTTCCAGTTCTCCTGCAAAATCCCATCATAAGGACTAGAACCTTGTGTTGTTGTTTTTTTTTTTAAGAAAAGGAAGACAGAACTTCAAAGATCTTCACCAGATGTTACAACCCAAAAGTTTCTTCTTAAGATAAGATAAGAGATAAGGTAACCTTTATTGTCATTTTATTTTACCGTGGGCACAACGGCACACATCAAAAATGAAATTTAGTTGCCCCTTACCGTTTCCAAAACTTACCATAAAGGCCGGGAGAACCGGTTGGGTAAATTTGGCTCGAAATGTGTGTAGCAACTGCTTAGTTTTTGCGTTGTAGAACGAGAGGAATCCTGCAAAGAGGGAAAAGGAAAAAAAAAGGGGGGGTCTTGAGGGTTGAGGGAACGGGGAAAATGTGGACAAGAAGAAGTAGAAAGGGGGCCAAAAATTTATCTATCCCAGTTTGACAGGGGAAAAATTGGAGAAGACACCCCCCCACACACACAAAAAAAACCCCAGTTATGCCTCCATTGTACAGGGAGTCCTCGAATTACGACCACAGGAGAATTTCCGTTGCTAAGCAAGGCGGTTGTGGAGGGAGTCACACCTGGTTTCGCAATTTTTTTTTGCCACAGTTGTTAATCACCGCAGTTGTTAAGCGAATCATAAGCAAGGTGGTTGTTAAACAGGTCAGGCTTGATTTTATGACCTTTTTTTGGCAGGGTTGTTAAATTAATCACCGCCGTCGCTAAGTGAATCCTATGATCATTAAACGAATCCAGCTTCCCTCACTGACTTTGCATGTCGGAAGCCGGCTAGAAGGTTGCAAATGGGGATCATTTGACCCCTGGGGACATTTGAACCGTAATAAAGACATATTGGTTAAAAAGCACCACATTTTGATCGTATGCTGCGACAGTCGTAAGTGTGAGGACTCGCCGTAAGTTTTCAATGCTGTTGTAACTTCAGAAGGAATGATGGTAAGTTGAAGGACGACCTAGGAATAGCAACAGCCCACAAACCCACAGCCACACTCCGCCAGGAATTATCCAGAACCAAAGACAAGATCCAGAAGGACGAAAAGAAACAATGCAATCTACACAATCAGCTGTAACCATTGCAACCAATTTTACGTGGGACAAACATCACGTCAATTAAAAACCAGACTCTGCGAACAACGGCCACGATCCCAAATCCTTAATCTCTACCCAGACCGACACCAAACAGCAACAGTTCAATTGGAGCAACGTAACAACAACAACAACAACAACAAAAGATCAACTCCTAATAGACAAAATGGTTTTGGAAAACGGCAAGAAAAGGAAGACCAACCTAAATGTGGCATGGATTGACTACAAAAAGGCATTTGACTCTCTGCCACATGACTGGATAATCAGGTACCTAGAAATAACAGGAGTCAGTAGAAACATCAGAAAATTTGTGCAAAGATTGATGGCACAATGGAAGACACAGTTGCAGGTCAATGGTGAGAGACTGGGAGAGGTTAACATCAAGAGAGGAATATTTCAAGGAGATTCATTATCACCATTACTATTTGTTATTGCACTGTTTCCTCTGCCAATAATACTGAATAACTCAGGACATGGCTATCAAACATCAAAAACATCTGCCAGACTATCCCACCTCCTTTACATGGATGATCTGAAGCTGTATGGAAAAACATCATCTGAAATAGAATCGCTGCTCAAGCTGTATGGAAAAACATCATCTGAAATAGAATCGCTGTCCGTATATATAGTCAAGATATTGCAATGGAGTTTGGCTTGGACAAGTGTGCCACACTTACTATCAAACAAGGAAAAATAATGAAAGGAATCAAGATGCTCCACGAAAATAACATTAAGAGTCTGGATGAGGAAGATTACTACAAATACTTGGGTATCCTTCAAGCTGACAACATCAAGCACACTGAAGTCAAGAAAAAGATTAGAGGTGAATACATCAAGAGAGTGAAGAAGATCTTAAAGTCCAAACTCAATGGAGGAAATACCATAAAGGCAATCAACACCTGGGCAATTCCAGTCATTCGATACACAGCTGGAATAGTGGACTGGACTCAAGCAGAACTAAAAGCAATGGATAGGAAGACCAGAAAAATAATGACAATGAATCATGACCTTCATCCACGCAGTGACATTGACAGACTTTATCTACCAAGGCAAATAGGTGGGCGTGGAATGCTGCAAGTACATCAGATTGTTGAAGAAGAAAAAATGGCTTTGGAAGAATATCTGAAGGACAGTGATGAAGATGCACTGAAATTAGTATATCAGGCAGGCTTACTGACTACTGGAGAGACCAAACTGGCCTACAAGAAAAACCAAATGAAGAACAGAATAGAGGCATGGGAAGACAAAGCACTACATGGCCAGTACATTAAAAAAAATAGCTGGGAAAGCAGATAATAACAAGACCTGGCAATGGCTAAGAGCAGGAAAGTTGAAGAAAGAGACCGAGGGACTAATTCTGGCTGCACAAGACCAAGCCTTAAGGACAAATGCATATAAAGTCAAAATTGAGAAGACAGCAACAGACAGTAAGTGCCGCCTATGCAAAGAAGCTGAAGAAACAGTGGACCATCTGGTAAGCTGCTGCAAGAAGATCGCACAGACTGACTACAAGCAGCGGCATGACAAAGTAGCAACAATGGTGCATTGGAAGATCTGCAAGAAATATCATCTGCCTGTAAGCAAGAACTGGTGGGATCATAAAATAGAGAAAGTCATAGAAAATGATAAAGTTAAACTGCTCTGGGACTTCAGAATTCAAACAGACAAGCACCTGCAACATAACACCCCGGACTTAACAATTGTCGATAAGAAAGACAAAAAAAGTCTGGATAGTGGACGTGGCAGTGCCTGGAGACAGCAGAATAGATGAGAAAGAACTGGAGAAGATAACAAAATGCAAAGACCTACAAATAGAAATAGAAAGACTGCAAGCAAGGGTGGTACCAATAGTCATAGGCGCCTTGGGTGCAATCCCAAAACAACTGGAGCACCACTTGAACACCATTGGCATTGACAAATTCGCCATTAGTCAATTGCAAAAGGCGGCCTTACTAGGAACCGCTTCCATCCTGCGACGATATCTGTAATAACATCAAACATCCACATCTGCCTATCCCAGATCCTGGGTAAGGACCCGATAGGTAGACAAAAATGCCAAATCCAGTCTGAACATCTGGCTGACTGTGCGATGATTAATAATAATAATAATAATAATAATAATAATAATAATAATAATAATAATTACCGTATTATTATTATTATTATTATTATTATTATTATTATTATTATTATTATTATTATTATTATTATTATTATTATTATTTATTTGCCTCCCGTCTCGCCATAAGAATTTACCTTCGTGAAAATTGCAATACACGCCTAGGATATCCGGAACTGGGATGTCCAAGATTTTGGCCTTGTTGTTGTGCTTGGCTGTGAAGCTGACCTGCAGCCAGTTGTTGAGATGAAGGCACCAGGAAGAAGAGGTTTTGCCCAGCTGGTCAAACTTGCCCAGACTCCGATAAGCCACGCCCACCGCAAAGGCCTTGCTGTCCCGGTCGTAGCGTACCTCCCAGTAGTGGTCACCACTGTCAATCAAGGTGTCTCCTACGAGAGGAAAAGTTATGGAGCCCTTGGATTGGCTAATAAATCTGTTCACTTGCTTTGCATTGGCTAAGATCAATGTGTTTCTCAAGCTCAGCGACTTTTAAGGTGTATGGACTTCAACTCCCAGAATTCCCCAGCCAGCCATGCTGGCTGGGGAATTCTGGGAATTGAAGTCCCTACACCTTAAAGTCGCTGAGCTTGTGAAACTAGCTAAAATAAACCTAAATCTGAGTTTAATGTAGTCTTTCTCAATCTTGGCCACTTTAAGATGTCTAGACTTCAACTCCCAGAATTCATCAGCCACATGCTTCAAGCATGCCACCTGGGGAATTGTGGGTACTGAAATCCACACAGCTTTTAAATTTGTTGAGGTTGAGAAATATTGCTCTAGTGTTATCCCAACAACAACAATAAGAAATAGAATTGATTGACTCCATTCAGTTTTAAATTTAGGATTTGCATTTCTTGTTTTAATGTTTTATATGCCATAATCTCATTTCACGTCTTTAAGCTGCCTCGAGTCACATTGAGCCAGATGGCTGGCATACAAGTCTGATTCAAGTAAAACAAAAGAAAACAAAATAAAAAATAGTAAAAAAGAAAAGAAAAAGTAAAGTAAAATAAAGCAACAGAAAAAATAAAGCAAAATAAAACACAGTAAAGTAAAATTAAAAAAAGGAAAGAAAACAAAAGGAAACAGTAAAGTTAAAAAAAGAAATTGAAATAAAATAAAAAATAAAATAATAAATAAAGTAAAATAAAGTAAAATAAAATAGTAAAGTAATAATAAAATAAAACAAAATAAAATAAAATAAAAATAAACCCAAATCCCAATACAAGATAATTGCAGCGGGTGCATTTCTTAGCCAGAATTATTTTTGTGACTACTTAGAAGTAACAATAGAACAGAATAGAATAGAATAGTTATTGAGAATAAAATAGAATGGAATACAATAGAACAGAACAGAATAGATGGGAACCTGCAACAGAAGTATTTCTTTAGAATAGAATAGAATAGAACAGAATAGAATAGAATAGAATACTTTTTACCCCTAATAAAAATCAAGACACAAGGAGAAAAAAACACCAATGCAATCCTAACAAGCTAACAGAGATTGTTGGCCAGGATGGAGCTAAAACAGTCACTCCTTCCTGGAGCTTTTACAAATAATAGTTATTAAACCAGGAATCGCATGTCAATTCCCATCAGCTGCAAATTTTGTTCTTGGCCCCACCCACCTCTCTGGTCTCAGTAGCTCCGCCTCCTTCAGAAGCTCCTCCCTCACAGCCCTCATCTCTGCTGGAATTCTGGGAGTTGAAGTCCACGCTTTTAAAAAAAAAAAAATATCAAGAAACTGGCTAAAATAAACCCAAATCTGGCAGTTCTGCATTTAATTTAATTCAGCGTTTCTCAACCTTGGCAGCTTTAAGATGCAAGGACTTCAACTCCCAGAATGCTCAGCCAGCATTTGTGGACTTCGACTCCCGGAACGTTCAGTCGCAAGACACACACACACACACACACACACACACAAACACACACACACACACACGATGACCCAGGACAGTGACGAAATTCTTACCTAACACTGTATAGGATTCGGCAGTGAATCGGTCTCGCCCTCCGCGGCCCGTCGGCATCCTTTTCGGAGACTGGACACACCTGTGGACAAGAAGATCCAGAGGGCGGGGCTGCTGAGACCCACCATTCAAAAGTGGGGGGGGCAATGGGGGGGGCTGGGAATTGGACCCCATTTAGAGCCCTGCCCCCCCCCTTCCCCGTTTCACACTGTGACAACGCTGAGTTGGAGAAACCAAGGAGTCACAACAGTGAAGCATCTTTTTTATATGTCTTGGTCCATGTCTGCATGAATCTGATTACAAATTTAATGCAGCCGTTCCTCAACGTACCAGCCAAGCCGAGCAAAGCAATTACCTGGCCGGAGAGTTAACGGGGGAGGCAGTTCGGCCCTTCCCGTCCTTTTCCCGTGCTTTCATGTCCTGCACCTTCCCCCCCATGGCGTCCCATTCCACACTGAGGTCTTCCACCTTGAGATTGAGGTGGCTGGTGCTGCCATCCAGGCGGTACATGAAGGCTGGGAAGAGAAGAAAGAAGTTTGGGTGTTTGTTTCTAAGTTCCTTCCTTCCTTCCTCCTCTCCCCCCCCATTCCTAATTTCTCCTCTCCCTCCCTCCCTCCCTCCTTCCTTCCCTCCCTTTTACCTTCCTACTTCTTTCCTTTCCTTTCCTCTTCCCTCCCCTCCTGCTAATTTCTCCTCTGATTTCCTTCCTTTTCTTTCTTTCTTCCTTCTTTCTTTCTTTCCTTCCTTTTCTTTCTTTCTTCCTTCCTTCCTTCCTTCCTCTCTCCCTCCCACTGTTCCTTTCCTTTCTCCCTTCTCTCCCCTCCCACTCCTAATTTCTCCTCACATTTCCTTCCTTCCTTCCTTCCTTCCTTCCTTCCTTCCTTCCTTCCTTCCTTCCTTCCTTCCCTTTCTTTCTTTCTTTCTTTCTTTCTTTCTTTCTTTCTTTCTTTCTTTCTTCCTTCCTTCCTTCCTTCCTTCCTTCTGGGAGTTGAAGTCCACAAGTCTTAAAGCGGCCACGTTTGAAGAGCCCTGTTCTAGACCAGGGCTTTTCAACCTTTTCACCCATTGTACCACTTTTAGGGTATGGCTATATCTGAGTACCACTAGTCGCCTAGCAAGGTGTCAAAAACTTGATGACCCCCCCCCCCAAAAAAAGGAAAAAAGTGATAAAATACAGGTAGTCCTCGACTTACAACAGTTCGCTTAGTGGCTGTTCGAAGGTACAATGGCACTGAAAAAAGTGCCCCCCCCCCAAGCCACAGCCGAGCAAGACACCTGCCTGCCCACCCGGTGGCGCTCTTCCTCCTGTCCGAGGTTTTCATTGTTGTGAGCATTTCTGTTGAGGATTGGCAGCGGGGGTGGGGTGGGGGGTGTTTGATTTTTATTCCCCCCCCCCCCCGTCTGCTGGGTGGTTGCAGCAGGTTTTGGTCACTTCACATGACCCCGGGACTCTGTGACCGTCATAAATATGAGTCAGTTGCCAAGCATCTAATGTAAATCACAAGACCCTGGAGAGGCTGCAACATTCCAGCTGATCGGCACTTCTTTTGGGCTCAGCAGAAGCGCCAGGATCAGTGCTGCTTTCCAGCTGGAGCCTGGCGCTGATCCTGGCGCTTCCACTGAGCCCTGACAGTCCCGAAGAAGTGCCGATCAGCTGGAAAGCGGCACTGATCCTGGCGCTTCCGCTGAGCCCTGACAGCCCTGCAGCTCCAGCCATCTCTCGCTCAGGCTTGTGGGGTGCTGCCACCGGTTCAGCTCATTCCCCTCCCACGCTACTTTTCTAGGATGGTCGCGTACCACCTGCCAGGTGACAATGTACCACAGGTGGTACCCATACCACTGGTTGAAAAGCCCTGTTCTAGACCATCTAGCTAGCCCTGTCCCCGTTCTCCTTGTCTCAAGTTCAACCCAGGCCATTTGCGGAGACTTTGATCA